CACTTGTTCTCTTGATCTTAGCAAGTCTGATTGGGGTAAGGTGATACCTTAGGGTGGTTTTAATTTGCATTTCCCTAACTACTAATGATATTGAACACCTTTTAAGATGCTTCTTAGCCACCTTTATTTCTTTTGAGAACTCTTTGTTCAGCTCTTTAGCCCATCTTTTAATTGGGTTACTTCCTTTCTTGATTGTTTTTTGAGTTTGTTATATATTCTGGATGTTAAACCTCTGTCAGATGTATCGCTGGTGAAGATTTTCTCCCATTCTGTGGGTTTTCTCTTCACTTCCTTGGTTGCTTCTTTTGATATACAGAAGCCTTTTAGTTTAATGAGGTCCCATCTATTGATTCTTGACCTTGTTTCCTGGGCAGTTGATGCCCGGTTTAGAAAATCTTTTCCTACATCTGTATCTTGTAGGTTATTACCAATGTTTTCTTTCAGGGTTTCAGGGTTCACATTGAGGTCTTTGATCCATTTGATCCTTTGGTGCAGGGTGAAAGATAGGGGTTTAGTTTCATTCTTCTACAGGTGGACATCCAGTTTTGCCAGCACCCTTTGCTAAACATGCTGTCTTTCCTCTAGTGAATGTTCTTGGCCTCTTTGTTAAATATCAGGTGGCTGAAATTGCATGTACTCATATTTGGGTCTTCAATTTTGTTCCACTGATCTTTGGGACTATTTTTGTGCCAGTACCATGTTGTTTTTATGACTACAGCTCTGTAGTACAGTTTAATAGCTGGTATAATAATCCCCCCAGCATTGCTCTTAGTGCTCAGGGTTGCTTTGGCTATCTGAGGTCTTTTGTGCTTCCATATGAATCTTAGGATGATTTTCCAATTCTGTGAAAAATGTCATGGGAATTTTGATTGGCATTGCATTGACTCTATAAATGGCTTTTGATAGGATGGTCATTTTCACAATATTAATTCCTCCGATCCATGAGCATGGGAGGTCCTTCCATCTTTAAAGATTTAAAATTTTCATTGTAGAGGTCTTTAATGTCTTTGGTCAGGTTTATTCCGAGATATTTTTTTTTGCAGCTATTGTAAAGGGGAGTGTTTCCATGTGCTCTTTCTCTGATTGCTTGTTATTGGTATATAGAAAGGCTATAGACTTTTGTAGATTAATTTTGTAACCTGCCACTTTACTGAACATGTTAATTTCTAGGAGTTTTCTGGTGGAATTTTTGGCATCTCTTCAATATATCATCTGCAAGAAGGGATGGTTTGATATTTTCCAATTATTGCTTTAATTTCCTTCTCTTGTCTTATTGCTCTTGGGCTTTAATTATGTTGAGGTATGTTCCCTCCAGTCCAATTCTCCTAGGACTTTGAACATAAATGCATGTTGAATTCTGGCTTTGGTATTAGAGTGATGCTGGCTTTATAGAAGGAATTTGGAAGTTCTCCCTCCATTTCTATCTTTTTGAATAAATTAAGTAGTATCGGATATAGATCTTCTTTAAATGTCTGGTAGAATTCTGCTGTAAATCCATCTGGTCCTGAGCTTTTTTTAGTTGGGAGGTTTTGTATTACTGTTTCAATTTCCGTATGTGTTATGGGTCTGTTTAAGCTGTTAATTTCTTCTTGGTTTAGTTTTGGTGGTTCACATGCTTTAAGATACCCATCCATTTCTTTTAGGTTTTCAAATTTAGTAGCATATAGGTTTTTAAAGTATTCCCTTATAATGTTCTGGATCTCTTTGGTGTCTGTTGTGATGTTTCCCCTTTCTTCTCTGATTTTTGTTGATTTGGAGGTGCTCTTTCTTTTGGTTAATGGGCTAGTAGTCTATCAATCTTGTTTATCTTTTCAAAGAACCAGCTCTTGGATTCCTTGATTCTTTGTAATGCTTTCTTTGTTTCTATTTCATTAATTTCTATTCTGATTTTTGTTATTTCTTCTTGTCTGCTGAACTTGGGTTTCCTTTGTTGATGCTTTCCAAGTGTCGTTACAATGTTAAGTCATTTATTTGTATTCTTTCCAATTTTTTAATGTAGGCCCTTAGAACTATAAACTTTCCTCTAAGGACTGCTTTCAGTGTGTCCCAGAGGTTTTATTGTGTTGTATTGTCCTTTTCATTTAGTTCCATGAATACATTTATTTCTTTCTTAATTTCTCCTTTGACCCATTCATCATTCAGGAGTGTGTTGTTTAATCTCCCTGTATTCATGTGGTTACTAGGGTTTCTTCCGGTCTTGATTTTAAGCTTTATTGCATTGTGGTCTGATAGAATGCATGGAATTATTTCAGTCTTTTTGTATTTGTTGAGGTTTGTTTTGTGCCCCAATATATGGTCGATTTTCAAGAAGGTTCCATGGGGCACTGAATAAAAAGTATATTCTTTGGTGCTTGGGTAGAGTATTCAGTAGATGTCTGTTAGAACCATTTGATGATTGGTATTGTTTAATTCAGATGTCACTCTGTTAATTCTCTGTCCTGTTGACCTATCTAATGGAGACAATGGGGTATTAAAGTCTCCTATTAATGAGTTGGGATTAATCTGGGTCTTAAAGTCCTGTAGTGCTGTTTTTATGAAGTTGGGTGCACCAGAGTTCAGTGAATGTATGTTCATGATTGTAATATCTTCTTGGTCTATTGTTTGATCAGAATGAAGCGGC